ACTCGCCAGAGTACTTCTTTTAACTCCTATTCCTCACTTCGTGTGGAGGGTCAGTGAAATTAAGGGGGGGTCGGAAGCTCTATCCGTACCCTTAAAAACACATCCTCAAGTAGGCAAACCGTTCATCGGGAGGAAATTTTACTTGTACTAGAGACAACTTAACTTCACTTTGCAGGCATACCCCACCAAGGATCACTAAAATCTCTTCCAAAACACGATTTTGTGCAATAAACGGTGCCACACACGTTGGGCTTACCCCATGTCTCTAGATTTCAAAGTTTTTGACATGGAGGACCAACTTCCTTTTCATTTCACATATGAGCACTTTTTTTCGATATACGAGTCCACAACACAACATAAGAGGAGTCATCAATACTACATGAATCAATGGTCTTAAATCCACTAGTTCATAAAATCAACCGGCACAACAGAGAGATGGATAGGAAAAATCTCATACTTCAACATCCTCCATAGTGCTACAACTATCTCCCTAGGTTGCATATCACCATAAAGATTGTCAATTCAAAGCATATTGACCAGGATTTTGCAGGGAACAGTACTTAGAGCCCTCAATTAATCAAATTGGACAGTGGACTAGGCTCCAAGCACACAAAATTATCTAGCAGTCAAAAATAGATGAACACCCCCCCCCCCCCCCCCCCCCCCCCCCCCCCCCCCCCCCCCCCCCCCCCCCCCACAACACTTAAGCACGACATTGACCGCAATGGAGCAGAGGGAAAGATAAGGGGAAATGATGTTACCGGAATGAAAGACTGCCGGGGGACTGGAAATGGACCAGTCATCGGGGGTCAGACGGAACAATGGAACAGTGCTGCACGAGGGGAACATGAATAACACACTAGCACACTGTGCGTTAGGGATCAGAGTCAGCCCAGAGGATCACAAAATAAAATCCAAAAAAAAAAACACACAAAATACTCAGTTCAAGCTCCTCACACATATGGAGCAAACATGAAAAATCCAAAGCACAAACACACTCGAAGGGGCGACGAGTATAGACTACTCGTCGCCGAGGTTGTCCAAGTCGATGTCATCCATGAAAGCATCGTCACTGGCTAGCGGGGGTGGTAGTGGGGAATCCTCCAGACTGGCTGCTCGCCCGGTATCAGCTGGAGGAGGTGCTGCTGGACCTCCTGCATACGATGAGCCTGACCACGCTTCCTCTCAATGTGATCAAGGGTGACCCCCTTCTAGGCCTCCATGCGGTCGAGGCGCTCATCATATGCAGCCATCCAGGTGTTATACTCGGCCTGGTGGGTCGAGTACTACTGCTGGAACTGGAGATGATGCTCGAGAAGCTGCTGATTCTGAAGATTAAGCTGCTGGAGTGGTCGGCAGCAAAATCCACGTCTTCGGGGTGGACATCCTCGGTAGTAGCATCCTCAGGAACTACGGTCTTATCCTCCGTAGGGATGGGGGGAACAGGAAAGCCCTCAATCCGCTTGACACCGCGCTCGACTCTCAACAGGGGCATCTTCGAGATCATCTCTTCTCCGAAACACCAGGTGTCCCCCTGCTTTGTGCAATCCTGATAAGGGATCTGGAAATAGGTTGTCAGGCGGGTGATGAGTGGGGTGTAGTGGAGGGTCCCCAGAGTCTGAGCACTCTTGTCCATAGTCCTCGCCACCACAGATCCCAAGTGGAGAGCATGGTGCTCAGTGCAGATCGAGTGGATGAAGTAGAGGGACCGCCTATTCAGGGTGCTGGCACTTTCGCCTGCTGGAGTGAAGGACTTTGCGAGCAAGTGGTGGAGCAGGCGATTCTCGAGCTGCAGAGTGTTAGTTTTTGTTCGCCCCGCAGTGCAGGGGTCCTGACCGGGCTGAGCTATCCAGGTGTACAGAGCCTTGAAGGATACACCGGCTGGATTAGCGACCTCGGTGAAATAATCCTCGTCATCGTCCATGTCGAGGTCGAGAGCGACAACCAAGTCGTGGTAACTCATGGAGCGAGGTTCATTGCTGGGCCTAAACTTGACGGCCTCGCTGTCTGACCAGTCGATAGTCAGTTGTGAGTGTAGAATTCTAGCACCAGCTCATGGTAGACCTTCTCGTGCACAGAAAGCATCCGGCGCCATGTGCGGTTGGTAGCAATAGTGAGGAAGTATTCGTAGCAATTCAGCTTCTGAAACTCTCTCCTGGTCCAAGAGTGATGCTTCCCAAACTTAGAGGCCAGGATGCGCTTAAAGCGCTCCTTGTGGGCACCCCTTTTCAAATCGCGGATGAACCGATGCTTAAGGTCTGGTTTCGACATGGACCTGCAAGAAAGTAAACCAAAGTGGAGCCAAAAGAGCCATAGGAACGGTCAATCACACCCACACACTTAATAACAGAAAATAGCCGAACCACAGTTTCATCCATAGTTTGGGGTGAAATAACTTGAGAAAACAAGCACAATTTTGGCGGGGGTGCACATCCACAATAAAGTAGGAAACTCAAGGTTCACATCCATAGCAAACACACCATCAAAGCACATCAGTAAGGGCCCCAACCGGCTCCCACAAAATCGTATGAAAAACTGACATTTCATCGAACACCTTGTGTGCACTTTTAAATTAAGCATAGAATGGGCAAATTCCTAGCACACAAGGGCTCAATCAAGCAAGGGAAACATTTCCCAACACATTCCACACATAAACCAAGCCTTTCCCTCAATCAATTGCAATCAAATCGCATGTTTCAATGAGGTTCTCTAAATACACACACTAACACCCAATTCTCCACAATTCACAAGGTAAAGGGAAAAATCAAACCTGGAGACACAAGTAGAGGTGTAGGGGATGATGAGGGGAAGGCAATGGAAGCGACAAAAACCCAAAATTCTGCCCGGAAATTGCTCGTCGGAGCCTCGCCAGAGTCTTGTCGAAAATCGCCTCTGGTGACCCAAAGCCGCCCCAAAACCAAGGGATAGGCCGAAAGGGGGTGGGAAGATTGGGTATGGTGTTGGTTTGGTGAAAAATGGACCAAAAATGGTCGGGAAATCGCCAAGAGCGCAAAAAATCATGGTTTTCCGGCGAGGAGATGTGGATTTCTGACCACACACGGCCGCGTAAGGCTTTTTATAGCCGCGCAGGTCACCACACGGGCAGACCCACACGGCCGTGTGGCGCCAAGAAATCCACACGGGCTCGCCGATTTTTTCACACGGCCGTGTGACGGCCCCCTTCTGCCCGTGAGGAAATCCTAGGAGCGTCACACGACCAAAGGAGAATTCCACACGGCCGTGCAGATTTTAGGCCTAGCCGTGTGAAATTCCAGAGCCCCGGATTCGACCAGTTTTCGCTCAAAAGCGACATCCGAACCTTTGACAACACTTCATGACTCAAAAACACAAAAATTAAAAAGAAAAAGGAAAGTAAATGCAAACCTAGATGTTGTTGCCTCCCCACAAGAGCTTCTTTACAGTCTTTTAGCTGGATGCCAGTAGAGGAACTAAGGGTCCTCGAGCTTGATTAGCAGCTCTGCGCGCTCGACCTCACCCCCCAAATGCAACTTTAAGAGGTGGCCGTTCCCTTTGAACTGCTCAGTTTGAGCATTGCTGATCTCCACCGCACCGTGCGGGAATACTTGGGTGACCGTGAAGGGTCCCGATGATAACGATGTAATTGCATGTATTTGCACCCCTAATTCTTATCCGTTTGAGAGGCATAGTCGTGTATTTTGGCCTATTTTACGCCGGGTTGTGCTATTTTGTCATATTTCAGGTCCCAGGCGTCAAAGGAAAGGCTAAGCACGAGTTTCGGGGCATTCGGAGGTCATTTCGTTAAGCTGGAGCCAAAACACGGGCAGATCTAAAACAGAACACGACCGTGTTCTGTGGCCATGCTTTTACTGCCGAGAGCTAATTCAAGTTGGGCAAACATTGGCTAAAAACACGGGCAAAAGCACGGCCGTGTCCACCGAAACACGGCCGTGTCCATCAGCAACCACGCCCGTGTTTCGCCCAATTCACTGGCCGTGTAATTAACCCTAGCCAAAACACGGGCGGGCTGAGGCATTACACGGCCGTGCCCTCGACCGTGTTTTGGCCACTGATGCCCTTTTAAGCACATTTTCAGCCAAAGAGAAGGGGATTCGAGTTTTTGAGAGAGAGAGCGATTCCTAGAGAGAGAAAGCGACGAACAAGAGTCTCCAAGTGCCCTAGATTGATCTTCAACACCATTGGAGGCCAGTTTGAGCTTGGAGAAGTGCCGATCAACGTCCAGGAGCAGGAATCCATCCTTCACAGTATGAATTTCGCGTCTGATTCTGCTTTTGCTTCTTTCTCTATGGAGTAGTTCTCCCATTCATCTGGGTATGGAGAACCCTAGATTTGTATGTTAGGTTTGATTGTATGAACCCAAGTACTGATTCTATGATTGAAGGTAGGGAGTTGGTGACTTTAGTCGAGGAACCAACTCACTATTCTGTACCGGGTTTACTCCGGTAGTGGAGGTTTTGTTCTTAGGGCCTCAATCTGTCTACTCCGGTGGAGGTTAGTCGCCCGCTAGAGATTCAGATTGAGAGGGTCTGAAGACCTTTAGTCGAGACTTCAGGCTGTTTAAGAACCTTCCGCAGTATAACTTTCATAGAAACTGAACTTGGTAATTACAATCCGGCTTAACTGCAGTCTAGGGGGAACCATATCCGGGTGACCTCTCTTAACCTGAATACAACAGTTTACTTGCTTTGTTAGTTTGATAGTTTAGACTTGCATTCCAGTTTCATTGCTAGATAACAAGAATTCACCGAGTAGTCATCAGATCTAGGACCCGGGTTGACATATAAACCTAACCCGCTATACTACGCTTTAGGAAGTGGTTTCACTTGGCCAATTCCTAGGGTGACAGTAGAAGTGAGTCAAGTTTTTGGCGCCGTTGCCGGGGACGGCTAGGTTGTTGAAGAAAAGTGATTTCTGTTAATTTAGCTTTTCCTTTCGCTTTGTTTGCTTTGTCCCACTTGTGCCTTCACGGGTTTGCTTGCTTGAGTGTGTGCAGGTAGTGCATGACCCGTAGCCAGTCAGGAGGTTTACTGCCGTTGAATCCAGAGATTGACCGCACCTGTCGCCAACTCAGGAGACAACAACGAGCTAGACTGGCTACGGAGGAGCGCCTAGACGGCCACTTGAGTAGCGATTCTGAAGTAGAGTACGGGATGGACGGAGACTACAATCAGCACCAGGGGAATCCTCAACAGGCTCCCCCGGTGAATCAGGTCCTGGGGAACAACCCCATACCCCAGGATCATGGAGTTCATCATCCACCGCAGCCGGGTCCCACCTTGGAGTACTACTACACTCCTCGGATTGCTGACATCCGCCCGGTCATCCTCTACCCACCTATTCCAGCAAACAACTTCGAGATCAAGCCATGCTGGATTCAGCTCATCACATCCTCTATCCAGTTTCATGGCTTGAAGGATGAGGAGGCCAGGGTACATCTGTCCCATTTTCTGCAGCTGACGAACGGGTTCAAGCTGAATGGTGTCCCGGATGATGAAATCCGCCTTCATCTCTTCCCCCATTCTCTGGCGGGGAATGCTAAGAGGTGGTTGGAGACCCAGCCCCCATTGTCCATCACCTCTTGGGACAATCTGGCTAGCAAATTCGTGCACAGGTACTATCCGGCATCGAAGACTACAGAGATTCAGCGGGAGATCACTCACTTCCGCCAAGAGCCAGATGAGTCACTTCGTGATGCATGGGAGCGGTACATGGGATATTTCTGGCAGTGTCCCCATCATGGCTTTAGTGATGCATTCACAGTGGGGAACTTCTACAATGCTCTCTCCCCAGATAGCCAGAGGGTGATTGAGTCTTTATGCCCAGGAGGGGATGTTCTCACTAAGACTCCACCCGAGCTGAACCAGATGATTAATACTTTGGCTGCCAGAGATCATTCTTGGAGGCAGAGCAGCCGAGGCAGACATTCCCGGGATCGTGGTGTGCACGCCATGGAGTCCAGATCCGGACTCGAGCAGCAGGTAGCTGAGCTAGTGCAGACATTGAAGCAGCCCAACAGTCTTATTCCGGGCAGAGGTATGGCTATACCTCCAGTTGCTCAGTGTCAGTGGTGTGAGAGCTCGAATCACTTAGTGGAAGACTGCCAGGCTATGAGGGAGTCTACTACTCCCCAAGAGCAGTTGGACTTCATCGCCAATGCCCGGCGCCTCGACCCGTACAGCAACACATATAATGAGGGGTGGCGCCAGCATCCCAACTTCTCTTGGGGCAGCAACACCACTAAGCCACCTGGTTTCCCAGCACCAGCTGGTGGCTTTCAGCAGAGGCAGCCCTATCAGGCTCGACAGGGCCCAGTTCCACAGCAGCAGCCCTACCAGCCTAGACAGGGCAACCACAGCAGTAGCCCTACCAGCCTAGGCAAGGGCAACCATTCCAGCAGCCCCCGCGCCAGTTTGCCAAGCCAGCAGCAGCCCCAGTTCCAGATACTCAGATGACGAAGCTGGAAAATATTCTGGCTTCATTCATGACTAGCACTCAGGCAGCTATCACGTCACTGGAGGCAGGTCAGAGGAACCAGGGTGCCATCTTACAAGATCTGCAGAACCAGGTGGGTATCTTGGCCCGCCAGAACACCACCAGGGCACCGGGGACTTTGCCTGCCACCACTGTCCCGAATCCTCATGATCCTAACCAGCTCCAGCAGCTTGATGCCATCACTACCAGGAGTGGCAAGACCACATCAGCTACTCTTGCCCAGCCCAGTCGAGATGAGCCACTGCCTGCTTCAACACTTCCAGCTGATACTGCAGAAGTGGGGGAAGACACAACAACGCCTGCTCCCACGCCACAGCCAGTGGTTAAGGAGCATGTACCTCAGCTTCCTTTCCCCACTCGCCTGCATAAAGACAAGCTGGAGACTGAGTTTGCCAAGTTCATGGCAATGTTGAAGCAGGTCAACATCAGCATGCCGTTCGTGGAGGCACTGTCAAAGATGCCCAAGTATGCCAAATTCATGAAGGACCTCCTCACCAACAAGAAGAAACTTGGGGATCTTTCGACAGTGATGCTGAGCGAGGAGTGTTCTGCCATCCTGCAGAACAAGCTGCCCGAGAAGCGAAAAGACCCAGGGAGTTTCACTATCCCTCTTGTTATTGGCAGCATGCATGTAGGAAAGTCCTTGGCGGACCTAGGCGCTAGCATAAATGTCATGCCTTATAATCTGTTTAAGAAGCTAGGCCTAGGTGAACCTAGAACTACTAGGATGAGCATTCAGTTAGCTGATCGTTCTATCGTGCATCCTAGGGGTATCATTGAGGACTTGCTTGTTAATGTGGGTGCATTCACATATCCTGTTGACTTTGTTATTTTGGATATAAATGAGGATGTGGATGTACCTTTGATTTTAGGTAGACCGTTTCTCGCCACCGCCAAGGCGCTGATTGATGTGCATAGTGGTAAATTGATTCTGCGTGCTGGTGATGAACATGCTACTTTTTCTGTGTCTGAGAATGGGAAACACCCTCATTTGCATGATGACATAGATTACTGTGATATGCTTGCTGATTTTGAGACCGCACTCGCTATCACGAGTGCGGGTACTGACAATGTTCTTGAGCGTTGTATTTTGCTAGGTGAGCAGGCATCGCAGGAGCCGCAGCTGGCGGAGCAGTTGGCCGAGTTGGAGAGTGGCCCTTTCTTGGAGGGCAACAAGCTGTTCAAACCGATCTCATCCTCCACCCGCATCGCTACTTCCTTGGAGGAACCACCAGTGCTGGAGCTTAAGCCCCTCCCTCCTCATTTGGAGTATTCATTTCTCCGGGAGGGGAATAAGCTGCCAATCATCATCAGCTAGACCCTCACACCCGAGCAGAAGACCAGACTGGTGACCTTGCTGAAGCGATACGAGCGAGCTCTTGCATGGAAGATCACAGACATCCGGGGGATCAGCCCTTCTTTCTGCTCCCACCGAATACTGATGGAGGATGAGATGCGGCCAGTGAGACAGCCGCAGAGAAGACTGACACCGAACCTGGAGGCCGTGGTCGGGCAGAGATCGTGAAGCTGCTGGACGCGGGGATCATCTTCGCCATTTCCGACAGCGAGTGGGTCAGCCCCACCCAGGTGGTACCCAAGAAGGGTGGGATGACTGTGGTGCCTAACGAGAAGAATGAGCTGATCCCGATGCGCACAGTGACTGGGTACCGTGTCTGCATTGACTACCGGTGTCTCAACGACGCCACTCGGAAGGACCACTTCCCGCTACCATTCATTGATCAGATGCTGGAGAGACTGGCGGGGCACGAGTTCTACTGTTTCCTGGAAGGGATGTCCGGGTACTTCCAGATCCGGATTGCACCGGAGGACCAGGCGAAGACCACTTTCACCTGCCCCTTCGGCACCTTTGCATACCGGAGGATTCCATTCGGGCTATGCAATGCCCCGGCTACTTTTCAGCGATGCATGCTCGCTATCTTTGACCGTCTGGTCGGCGAGATTATGGAGGTGTTTATGGATGATTTCTTAGTTTATGGAGACTCATTCTCTCACTGTCTCCATAACCTGGAACTTGTCCTTAAACGGTGTGAAGAAACGAACCTGGCACTGAGTTGGGAGAAGTGTCACTTCATGGTTCGAGAAGGCATAGTTCTTGGGCATAAGATCTCCAAGATGGGGATTGAGGTGGACAGAGCGAAGATCGAGACTATCAGCAAGCTGCCTCCTCCCACATCTGTTAAGGGGATCCGGAGTTTTCTTGGTCATGCAGGGTTCTACAGGCGGTTCATCAAGGATTTCTCGAAGATTGCTCTGCCCCTGACTAAGCTTCTAGAGAAGGATGCCCCCTTCCAGTTCACTGATGCATGCACAACGGCTTTCACGACCTTGAAGGAGAAGCTCACACAAGCTCCTATCATGGTTGTTCCTGATTGGTCCTTACCATTTGAGATTATGTGCGATGCCAGTGACTTTGCTGTTGGAGCTGTGTTGGGGCAGAGGCGTGATCAGCATTTTCGACCTATCTACTACGCCTCGAAGACCTTGAATGACCCCAGGAGAACTACACCACCACGGAGAAAGAGCTGCTCGCGGTGGTGTTTGCCTTCGATAAATTTTGTCCTTATCTGGTCTTGTCCCATGTGATTGTGTATACTGATCACTCCGCGATTCGATACTTGATGAGCAAGGCTGATGCCAAGCCTAGGCTCATACGAGGGATCTTACTACTGCAGGAGTTTGACATTGAGATTCGGGACAAGAAGGGAGCAGAGAATGTTGCTGCCGATCACCTCTCCCGGTTGGACGCGCCCCCTGCGGACAACCTCGAGGAGGAGATCAATGACTCCTTTCCAGATGAGAGATTGCTGATGATGTGCCTGGTGGAGAGTGTCACCCCCTGGTATTCTGATTTTTCAAATTATCTTGTGGGCCAGCAGCTGCCCAAGGGGATGACAACTCACGCCAAGAGGAAGTTCTTCTCCGACCTGAAGTACTACTTCTGGGATGACCCCCATCTCTTCAGGATCGGAGCCGACGGGATCATCCGTCGATGTGTTATGGAGAGTGAGATGGAGGGCATTCTATCTCACTGTCATGAAGGACCTGCTGGCGGTCACGACGGAGGAAACCGCACGGCGAGGAAGGTGCTCCAGTCGGGCTTCTACTGGCCCACGCTCTTCAAGGACGCAGACGCCTTCGCACGCAGGTGCGACCGATGCCAGAGGTCAGGTAACATCTCTGCCCGTGATGAGATGCCTCAGAATGTGTTTATTACTTGTGAGATTTTTGATGTCTGGGGTATCGACTTCATGGGCCCCTTCCCTCCATCCTTTGGTAATACATATATCCTTGTTGCTATTGACTACGTCTCTAGGTGGGCTGAGGCGCAAGCTTTGCCCACTAATGATGCTGGACGTGTTTGTGGTTTTCTGAAGCAGCTATTCTCCCGGTTCGGGACACCTAGAGCCATCATAAGCGACCGAGGCACCCATTTCCAGGGTCAGTTCGATAAATTGTTGTCTCGCTATGGTGTAACTCATAAGGTGTCCGTGGCCTACCATCCTCAAACCAGTGGCCAGGCCGAGCTGACGAACCGGGAGCTCAAGCGGATCTTGGAGAAGACGGTGAATCTATCCCGCAAGGATTGGTCCACCAAGCTCGATGATGCTCTGTGGGCATATCGCACTGCCTACAAGACGCCCATTGGTACCTCACCGTACCGGCTTGTCTATGGAAAGGCATGCCATTTGCTCGTGGAGCTAGAGCACAAGGCCTTCTGGGCCCTTAAGCTGCTAAACTTGGATGTTAGTGTTGCAGGTGATGAGCGAAAAATGCAAATGTTGGAGCTGGAAGAGTGGCGTTATCACGCCTATGAGAACATCAAGCTGTACAAGGAGCGCACGAAGCGCCTACACGATGCACGATTGCGGGGTCCGAAAGAGTTCCAGGTTGGTGATCGAGTTCTCCTTTAAAACTCTCGCCTGAAACTCTTTCCCGGAAAACTCCGTTCCCGGTGGTCTGGACCGTACACGGTCACACAGGTGTTCCCGTATGGCACGATTGAGATTGCTAACCCGCAAACTGAGCCGTTTAAAGTGAATGGCCATCGTCTCAAGCTCTACCTGGGAGACGAGGTCGAACGTGCGGAGTTAGCAGTGGAGCTCGCGGACCCTTAGTTCCGCAATTGGCGTCCAGCTAAAAGACGGTAAAGAAGCGCTTGTGGGGAGGCAACCCCACCACGGTTTGCATTTCTACCTTTGTTATTTATTTATTTATTTCATCTTTGTCGGTTTTTTGAGTCTTTGAGTCAGTTTGGATTCAGTCTGGAAAGTTTTTTGTGCCTCGGGCGGTTCGTTTTTATGTGTGATTGGTTAAATTTTAGAGCCGGGGCACGAATGAATCTTGGTGGTTTGAGATTGAAAATTGAAAAAAATGCATTTCAGGCTCGGCAGTGAAAACACGGGCAGCAGGGGGCCAAAACACGGCCGTGTTTTGCCCTGAGCCCGCCCGTGTTTTGCTTTGTGCTCTCGGCATAAAAAGCACAGGCCGAGGGCTCTGAAAACACGGCCGTGTTTCGCCCAGAGCCCGCCCGTGCTTTAATGGGGGAAAACACTGGCGCGGAGCATCCGAAACACGGCCGTGTAATGCCCCGCCCGTGTTTCGGCCTCCCCCCTATAAAAACGATTTTTTTTCAGCCCCAAACCAGATCAGCCATTTTTTCAAAACTCCCCAGCCCCCCCTCGCCGGAAAATCGCCCCTTTCACCTTCTCCCTCGATTTTCCGGCCATAACTTCCTCTCTCGACCTCCAAATCACAAACCGCGAACGCCCCCACGCTCCTGGCGTCGAGGAGCACATTCCCCAAAGATTTGGGCTGGTTTGACTGAGGTTGGGTCGCCGGCGGTAAGTTTTCCGGCGAGTCTCCGGTGTGTTTTCCGGCGACTTTGGGTGCTTCTTTCCACTTTCTTCACCTCTCTCGTGGTCTCTTCTTGAGTCTCCAGGTGTGTTCTCCTTGTCTTTTCTTATATTTTTGGAGAATCGAAACCTAGAGTTAGGTGAAGAACTTTTGATTGAGGAATGCATGGTTTGGGACTATTTTAGGTTTGGGGGATGATTGGGCTGATTGCATGTTGAATGGCCTGCGTGATATGTGATTTTTCTGTGATGCCTCGATTGGTGCTATTTAGGGCAGTTGTGGTATGCTTGTTTCACCGGGGGCCTAGTCCACTGTCCAAATCGCTCGATTTGAGGGTCCCCGGTGTATTTTGCTGGTATTTCTCGTATGATGGGTATGTTTGTGTCGCCGAGAGCCTAGTCCACTGTCCATATCTTTCGATATGAGGGCTCCCGGTGTGGATTTGGCCTAACATTGACCCCGTTTGCTTGTGCACACTTTGTCCTTCATTGTATTTTGCAGGATCATGGAGATTTACCTCGACCAGCTGAACATCGTCCAGCGCCATAAGCTGCGGAACCTCCGTACCTGCAGCATCGCCGAGCACCATCACCTCGATTGGGAGGTGTTCGAAGAGCTTCATGCCTGGCCACAGATGGAGGCGGCGGTCCGCTCCCCTGCTTGGCGGCGTCTTCTCACCCTTGCCGAGCCGACCTACAAGGAGATAGTCTTGGAGTTCTACGCCACCTTCAACCACAACTCGAGGGGGAACTCCGACCATTCTGATGCAGTCCAGTTCACACTCGGCGGGGTGTAGCACTCCCTCAGCTACTGGGAGTTCGCCAATGCCCTTCGCCTCCATTCTCGGACAGCAGGAGGGCCTCCTCTCCGCTTGGATCTCTCTGATCCCACGGACTTCGCTTCCCAGGCGTACTTCCAGAGCATTTGCCTGCCGGACAGTGTGGATGAAGAGTACGTGGCCAGCCAGACTCGGGCTGCTCTCCTCCATCCGGAGTGGCGGATCCTCAACCACCTGATGTGCACTTCTTACACGCCCAGCGCCGGCTCGTCTAACCGGGTCACACTCCGGACTCTCTGGTTGATGCATGCGATGGGTCGCTCCGAGGACACCATCCAGCTGGGATCTGTGCTTGCCCGGACGTTCACTAAGCCAGCCATCAGCACGTCTCGCGCCCTCGTTTGTGGCCCGGTGATCACCGCCTTGGCCCGCAACTACGGGGTGGACTACACAGGGATGACATTGGTCCGCGGGCCGAGCCCACTCAGCGAGGCTAATCTTCGCCACCAGCACTTGATTGCGCACCACGGGAGTGTGCGCCGGATCGAGGGTCTTCCTCAGCCACCTATAGCTGCAGAGGGCGACCAGGCCGAGTCCAGCGCCGCTGGTGGACGCCGAGTTCCACGTCGCGTTCCTCGTCGTGCCCAGGCTCCCACGAGCCCCTCTCCTGCTCCCCGGTCTCCATCTGCAGGACCACCTCCTCCGGTGGTGGTCCCCATCTCCGACCAGTTGGCGGCGATCTCGCAGCAGAATGATCGCATCCTGGCCGGCCAGGAGCGCATCCACGCCCGCCTTGATCGTGAGCGGGACCGAGGGCGTCGTCTCATGTCGGGGCAGCACTACATCATGTCCTACTTGGGCTTGGACCCGAACGCGGTCCACTACCCATTCGTGCAGTCCCCAGGGTTCGAGGATGAGTACCCTCCACCCACCGGCGATGGTGGTGATGCCTTCTAGAGCGGGTTTTACGTTTTATCTGTTTTCCAGACTGAGACTCCGTGTTTTGTGATTTCATTTTGTTTTGTTTTTATCTTGGATTGTAGACTTGGTACTCTGAATCCTATCACCCAGTGTGTGTTTTGTTGTCTCTAGCTCTATGCCCCCTTCTTTTAACTAGTCCGCCATCCAGTCAACGTTCCTGACCACTGTTTCACGGTAACATCGTTCCCCTTCCTTCTGCTCCATTGAGGACATTGTCGCGTTTAAGTGTGGGGGGGTTCTTTGTATGAATTGGAACGTATAAATATGTGTGCTTGGAGCCTAGTCCACTGTCCAAATCTTGAGATTTGAGGGCTCCAAGCACGGCTGTTTGCTTGATGATTGATCATATTGGCACTGTGGATGTGATTAGTGAATTGAAGGGCTTTTGACTTGATACATGACAACTTGAGTGTGACTTAGACAACTTATTGTGATGACTGAGATGTGCAGTAGAATTGTGTAGGGGTTCAGTTTCTCAACTGTCTGCCCACCAAATGTGACTTGGTTTGATCACTTGCTTTTGACAGTCAGTTATGCATCTAGTTCAGGGAATCAGAACGAGAGATAGAGCATATAGGTAGCCATGTGAGATTTGAGCCTGCTCGTTTCTTTCTTGTGCGATAGTTTCCTCTTCCATGATGTTCAGCATTCACGTTGTCATTAGCTAAGATGATGGCGGCATAGGATTAGCCCACGACCAAATTGAAAAGTCACCCTTTTGCATCTTTTAGAAGGTTCCACAGAGTGATTTTTACATGTTCTCTGCTATTTCTGCTAAATGTAATGTGAGGGTTGGAGGTAGTGCTTAAAAGTTGGGCAGGTGTTTGAAAATGTGCAGAGGTGGTGGTTCTCTTAAGAAATGAAAAATAATGAAAGAAAATCAAAGAAAAAAAATGAAAGCAAAAGAGAGCCACCACCAAAAATCTGAATGATGCCCATGTAGTAGTGTTTCTTAGCAGTCTGGCTTAGAAATACTAGCATTTATGTAACCTACTTCGCTCTTGTGCTTTGAATTTGAGTAATGCAGAATAGCAGAAAGAAAGTTATTGGTTCGATTGATTGTGAATCTGTTGGGTTTGGAAATGTGGAACCTTGTGCTGTATGAATACTTGCACCACCTAAAAGGCCTTTTCCCCATGTCCAAGACCCTAGCCAGTCATCGGAACCTGTGTCTAAGACCTCCGGATTAGTTAGTGATGACACCCCATATGTGAACTCTAGCACTTAGAGGCTGCATTCATGGTGAAGAGATGTTAGGGATTGAGAGACTAAGCATGCGCATTTTTCGCATCATATTGTCCTGACCCCACTGGTCGAGAGTGAGCGATTCATTTTCTCTTATTCTCTATACTCTTTATCCCGGTGAGGACCTAGATTGCTCGGTCTTAATTCTGATATCTTGAACTTTGTGCATGATGTGACTGTTTTGAACAAGTGGTTGAGTCAAGTCTATGTTGGTTGGTGAACAGAAGGGAGACTCTTCCTTTGCTCGATTTTACTGCATTCGAATGTCATCTGCGATGGTTGTCTAGGTTGTCATTGAGGTTGTCCATGTGTTAATGATCGAAAGCCAGTATGATCCACGTGTTTTGTGCCGATATGTCGTGCCCTTTTGTTGAGCTTACCTTGTGTCTGACTTGGTTTGCTTGGGGACAAGCAATCGGTTAAGTGTGGGGGAATTTGATAACGATGTAATTGCATGTATTTTCACCCCTAATTATTATCCGTTTGAGAGGCATAGTCGTGTATTTTGGCCTATTTTACGCCGGGTTGTGCTATTTTGTCATATTTCAGGTCCCATGCGTCAAAGGAAAGGCTAAGCACGAGTTTCGGGGCATTCGGAGGTCATTTCGTCAAGCTGGAGCCAAAACACGGGCAGACCTAAAACAGAACACGGCCGTGTTCTGTGGCCGTGCTTTTATTGCCGAGAGCTAATTCTAGTTGGGCAAACATTGGCTAAAAACACGGGCAGAAGCACGGCCGTGTCCACCGAAACACGGCCGTGTCCATCCGCAACCACGCCCGTGTTTCGCCCAATGCACTGGCCGTGTAATTAACCCTAGCCAAAACACGGGCGGGCTGAGGCATTACACGGCCGTGCCCTTGACCGTGTTTTGGCCACTGATGCCCTTTTAAGCAGATTTTCAGCCAAAGAGAAGGGGATTCGAGTTTTTGAGAGAGAGAGAGCGATTCCTAGAGAGAGAAAGCGACGAACAAGAGTCTCCAAGTGCCCTAGATTGATCTTCAACTCCATTGGAGGCCAGTTTGAGCTTGGAGAAGTGCCGATCAACGTCCAGGAGCAGGAATCCATCCTTCACAATATGAATTTTGCGTCTGATTCTGCTTTTGCTTCTTTCTCTATGGAGTAGTTCTCCCATTCATCTGGGTATGGAGAACCCTAGATTTGTATGTTAGGTTTGATTGTATGAACCCAAGTACTGATTCTATGATTGAAGGTAGGGAGTTGGTGACTTTCGTCGAGGAACCAACTCACTATTCTGTACCGAGTTTACTCCGGTAGTGGAGGTTTTGTTCTTAGGGCCTCAATCTGTCTACTCCGGTGGAGGTTAGTCGCCCGCTAGAGATTCAGATTGAGAGGGTCTGAAGACCTTTAGTCGAGACTTCAGGCTGTTTAAGAACCTTCCGCAGTATAACTTTCATAGAAACTGAACTTGGTGACCTCTCTTAACATGAATACAACAGTTTACTTGCTTTGTTAGTTTGATAGTTTAGACTTGCATTCCAGTTTCATTGCTAGATAACAAGAATTCACCGAGTAGTCATCAGATCTAGGACCCGGGTTGACATATAAAGCTAACCCGCTATACTACGCTTTAGGAAGTGGTTTCACTTGGCCAATTCCTAGGGTGACAGTAGAAGTGAGTCACCCGACCACCTCGAACACAGCTTGCCCTGAAAGAGTTTCAGGCGTGCATTAAAGAGCAAAACACGATCACCTACCTGAAACTCATTCGGGCCCTTCACCCGAGCGTCGTTGAGACGCTTGGTTCGCTCCTTATAGAGCAGGGTGTTCTTGTAGGCGTGGTAACACCATTCCTCCAACTCCAGCAGTTGCAGCTTACTTTCATTACCTGCAACACTCAAATCCAAATTTAGCAGCTTAAGGGCCCAGAAGACCTTGTGCTCTAGCTCTACTGGCAAATGACATGTCTTCCCATAGATAAGCCGATAGGGTGAAGTACCAATCGGGTTTTTGTAGGCTGTCCTATATGTCCAAAGAGCATCATCAAGCTTGGTGGACCAATCCTTGCGGGACTGATTCACCGTCTTTTCAATTATTCTTTTAAGCTCCCGGTTCGTCAGCTACACACACCTGATGCTAAACACCATAGCGAGAGAGGAGCTTAGTGAATTTGCCCTTGAAAATGGGTTCCTCTATCACTTATGATGGCACGATGTGTCCCGAACCGGGAGAACAGCTGCTTCAGAAATGAGCAGACCCGTCTTGCATCATTGGCGGGCATGGCTTGAGTAGAAGCCCGACTTTAGCACCTTTCGTGCGTAGGTGTCTTCATCCTTGAAGAGTGAGGGCAGTAGAAGCCCGACTGTAGCACCTTTCGCGCCGTGCGGTTTCCTCCATGGTGACCGCCAGTAGGTCCCTCGTGGAATTGAGACAAGACGTCTCCCATCTCGTGCTCCATGACGCAGCGCCGGATCACGCCATCTGCTCCTACCCTGAAGAGTTAAGGATCTTCCCAGAAATAATGCTTCAGGTCGGAGAAGAACTTGCGCTTTGCATGAGTGGCCATCCCCTTCGGTAGTTTCTTTCCCACCAGATAATTGGCAAAGTCAGAATACCAAGGGGCCACGCTCTCTACCAAGGTCATCACTAGCAATTGCTCACCCGGGAAGGAGTCTTTGATCTCTTCCACGAAGTTGTCCACCGGAGGGGCTTTCAACCGTGAAAGATGATATGCAGCAACATTTTCGGCTCCCTTCTTATCTCGGATCTCGATATCAAATTCCTGCAGAAGCAAGATCCAGCGGATGAGCCTAGGCTTTGCATCAGCCTTGCTCATCATATAGCGAATCACGGAGTGGTCCGTGTAGACCACCACATGGGAGAGCACCAGATAAGGTTGGAACTTGTCAAATGCATACACCACCGCAAGCAGCTCCTTTTCAGTGGTGATGTAGTTCTCCTATGCATCGTTCAAGGTCTTCGATGCGTAGTAGATGGGTTGAAAGTGCTTCTTACGTCTCTAACCCAGAACAGCTCCGACTACATAGTCACTCGCATCGCACATCAGCTTGAAGGGTAGAGACTAGTCAGGAGTCACCATGATGGGTGCATGGTTAAGCTTCTCCTTCAATGTCTCGAATGCAAATGTGCACTCAGGAGTGAACTGGAATGGTGCATCCTTCTCCAGTATCTTGGTTAGAGAAATCCTTAATAAACCGCCTGTAGAAACCTGCATGACCCAGAAAGCTGCGGATCCCCTTCACAGAAATGGGAGGAGGCAGCTTACTGATCGTCTCTATCTTCGCGCGATCCACCTCAATCCCCTGCTTAGAGATCTTGTGCCCGAGCACAATCCCCTCACGAACCATAAAATGGCACTTCTCCCAGCTGAGTGCCAGATTAGTCTCCTCGCACCTCTTCAAAACGAGTTCCAGGTTATGGAGACAATGAGTGAAGGAGTCTCCATAAACCCAGAAGTCGTCCATGAAGACTTCCATGATCTCTCTAACCAGTTGGTCGAGGATTGGCAGCATACATCTCTAGAAGGTCGCTGGTGCATTACATAACCCGAATCGAATCCTTCGATAAGCAAAAGTACCGAAAGGGCAAGTGAATGTGGTCTTCGGCGCAATGGGTATCTGGAAGTAGCCAGACATGCCATCCACGAAGTAGTAGAACTCATGGTCACCCAACCTCTCCAGCATTTGATCAATGAAAGGTAGGGAAAATGGTCCTTCCTGGCGGCGTCGTTCAGGCGCCGGTAATCGATGCAGACTCACCAGCCGGTCACGGCCCGCATCGGGATCAACTCGTTCTTCTCATTACAGACCACAGTCATCCCGCCTTTCTTCGGGACCATCTGGGTGGGACTGGCCCACTTGCTATCAGATATAGCAAAGATGATCCTTGCATCCATCAGCTTCACAATCTCTGCACGGACCACTGCCTCCAAGTTTGGAGTCAATCTCCGCTGCAGCTGTCTGAATGGCTTAACCTCATCCTCCATCAGAATTCTCTGGGAGCATAAGGATGGGCTAATGCCTCTGATGTCTGTTATCTTCCATGCCATGGCCCTGTCATACTTCTGCAGCAGAGCCACCAGCCTGCTTTTCTGCTAGGGTGTCAGATCCGAGCTAATAATGACCGGGAGCTTATTCCCCTCTCGGAGAAATGCATACTCCATGTGAGAGGGGAGGGGCTTAAGCTCCAGCTCTGGTGGTTCCTCCAATGATGTGGCGATCCGGGGCGAGATAGGGATAAACTCGAATGGTTTCTCTCGCCCCTCGAGCTTCATCTAGATCCGCGAGCTGCTCCTCCAGCTGCAACTCCTGCGATGCCTTTTCCCCTAGCAAAAGACAACGCTCGAAGAAATCGTCAGTACCCGCACTCGTGATAGCGAGTGCAGTCTAAAAATCAGCAATAATATCCCAGTAATCGAGGTCATCATGGAGTTGGGGGTGTTTCATATGATCAAAAACAGAGAAAGTGATTTGTTCACCCCCAGCCCTCATCATTAACTTCCCATCATTCACATCAATAAGCTCCTTGGTGGTGACGAGAAAAGGTCTACCCAGTATTAAAGGCACATCCACATCCTCATTTATATTAAGAATCACAAAATCAACAAGATATGAGAATGACCCTACTGCGACTATCAAGTCCTCTACAATCCCCCTAGGATGCACAATGGATCTATCAGCAAGTTGAATGCTCATCCTAGTATTACTGGGTTCACCTAGGCCTAGCTTTTTAAACAGTTTATATGGCATGACGGTTCTCCTAGCGCCTAAATCCGCCAATGACTTTCCTACATGCAAGCTACCAATCATGCAAGGGATAGTAAAACTCCCTGGGTATTTGCGCTTCTCTGGTAGCTTGTTCTGCAGGATGGCAGAACACTCCTCGTTGAGCATCACCATCGACAGCTCCCCAAGCTTCCTCTTGTTGGTGAGGATATCCTTCATGAACTTAGCATACTTGCGCATCTTCGATAATGCCTCCACGAAGGGCATACTGATGTTATCTGCTTTAGCATTGCCATGAACTTGGCAAACTCGGTCTCTAGTTGGTCTTTGTGCAATCGAGTAGGAAAGGGAAGTTGCGGGACATAATCCTTCACCACTGGTTGCGGCTTAGGAATAAGCACCTCAACCTCCTTCTCCATTTCTTCTTCATTAGCTGAAAGTGCTGAAGCAGGGGCTCTCTCTCCCTGTCATGCCCGGACAGGTGGATCCGCAGTCACTTTGCCACTCCTGGTAGTAATGGCCTGGCAGTGTTCATTTGGGTCCTGCGGATGAGGAATGGTCTGCCAGGGTAAAGTACCTGGAGCCCTCTATGCTTCAGTCTGGGCCACACTCCAGAGCTGGGTCTGGATATCCCGCAGCACAACCTGCGTGTTTCTCTAGCCAGCTTCTAGCTCCAAGAATTTACCTAAAGCTTTCTCCATGAACTGCTCGATGTTGTTGAACTTATTCGCACTGCAGGTGGCTAGAGAACCCACCAGATCTCGCAAATCGGCCATAGGGTCGCTCTGTACTAGGGTTGTGGGGGCTACACCAGGTTGCTGAAATGGCCTCATTTGTGACTGAGGATGAGCTGGCCCCTGTCTGGCCGGATAAAGAGGCCGCTACTGTTGCTGGAATTGCCCTTGTCTTGGCTGGTAAGGAGGCCTCTAAAAGCTTGGCGGTCCTTGGGAGGCTGGTGGTCGAGGATTCATTCTAGGAGAAGTTGGGATGATGGCGCCAGCCCTCGTTATAAGTGTTGCTGTAGGGGTCTAAACGCCTAGCATTACGGATGAAGTCCACCTGCTCTTGGGGAGTAGTCGACTCCCTCATCGCCTGACAGTCTTCCACAGTGTAATGGGAGCTTTCGCACCACTAGCAATGCATTGCCTGCTACTGTCCCGTCCCTGGAACCATTCCAGAATGATCAATGGTTGAGGCCAGCTAAGATACCACCTGCACCAACTCAGACGACGGGGTGGCCACAACTTGCACACCCCGACCTGGTGCTCGTCTCGATCGCCTAGAAGTTCCCCAATCATATCCCTGTTCTGCCATCTCTTCAAAGATTCGATTCAGCTGCGGCGGGGTCTTAGTTAGCATGTTCCTGCCGCAGACCGAGTCAATCAGTTGCTTATCTTTTGGAAAGAGGGCGTGGTAGAAAATGCCCACCTTGAAGGCATCATTGAACCCATGATTGAGACACTTCAGAAAAAGACTGGTGTATCTTTCCCAAGTGTCCCAAATGGTTTCATCTTCATCCTGGACAAAGCGGGTGATCTGCTTCTGCAGGTCCGCCGTCTTGGACGGAGGATGATAGTGGTGAGGAACTTGTCCGCCAGGTTGGCGAACGTGGTGATCAATCTTGGAGGCCGAGTGTCCAACCACTCCATGGCTTGCCCTTCCAGAGTAAATGGGAAGTACCTCAGCTGGATGGTATTGGGTGGGACCCCATTTATCTTGATCCCATCGATTAGCTCATGGAATCGGCGCAAATGCGATCTGGGGCACTCCCCCTCTTTTCCGCGGAGTGCCACCAAGCCGCGCAGCATGGTGATGACAGAGGTGCTCACCACGAAGTTATTGGCTGGAACTTGAGGGTGCTGGATGGGCGAACTCATGTCCGCGACTCTTGGTCTAGTAATACCCCATGGTGTGCTCATCGGGGACAACCACATCATTGTTTTGAGGCTCGCCCATGTCTTCCTCCTAGTTGATCTGCAGCTGTGCTAGATCCTCCTCCGCAGCCAGTCGCGCCTTTAAAGCCCGCTTGAAGTTCCTACAAGTCCGTTCAAGCTCTTGGTCTAATGGCAGTAAGTCTCCTGACTGGGTACGGGTCATGCACTACCTGCACACAGAATGCAAACACAACACATGAAGGCACAAAGGGGGAAGAGAGAGAACGCAGGAAAGAAAAAGGTAGAGTAACAAACTTTCACGTTTCCACAATAACCTAGAGGTCCCTGGCAACAACGCCAAAAACTTGACACTAAAATACAACAACAAACTGCGACCAAGTGTAATCGCAGTCCGGAAATGCATAATAGTGGCAAGTTCAATTTCCATTCCATTTGAATTACCCAACTTTTCATTTGAATTAAACAAACCAACTTCCCATTTATCTCCACGTGATGGAAATTGCTTGTGTTTAATTGGATAAGTTTGATTTTGGAATGGAACAACACATCACTCCAACTCAATTTGTCCAAAAAATGCCATGTATGGAGATTTGGCAATTAATGCATGAGACCATCACCATCAAGGGCCGCCATTTACTTGGAAGGACACAACTGTTGGCCAAGTCCAAATAATGCAATGTTTCATGAAGGTAACGACCAAATTGAAGTGTTATGACCCTTCAAAGCAACGGTTGGTCCTCTATATATTTGGGGACTCAACTTGCGGTGATGGTCAGAAAAACTTAGAACAAAAGATTCATTCTTCTTCCATCAAAAGCTTCTAAGTGTGCTTTAGTTTCTTAAGTCTAGATTTTAAAGTGGTGGTAGTTTTATCCTACGAAAATTTCCTATAACCCTAGGCTTTCGGAGGGTGGAAATATTCTTTACGAAAGGTGAACTTTGTTCACGACACTATCATAATCCTAGTTACCCGGTCTCGGGCTTTTTTATAAAAACCCTCGTCCCTCTTACTCCAACAATTATAAAGAATATTTCTCTTGTACGATGGCTCGTACTTCTCCTTACAAGGAACCTTTTCTCCATGGGAAATTTGAGAAATTCAATGGGGAACATTTCTGTCGATGGCAAAAGAAGATGTGTTTTCTTCTTACTACTCTCAAGGTGGGGTATGTGATTAGTACCCCATGTCCATAAGGTAACTTGGAGGAGGAAGGGATCGGCAATGAGGAATTGAAGAAGCGACTTCGTAAAATGAAAAAGTGGGAGAACGACAACTACCTTTGCGTAGGACACATACTCAATGGTTTACCGGACTCCCTATTCGACATTTACAAAATGTATGCCAATGCCTCAGAGCTTTGGGATGCATTATAGGCAAAGTATTTGGCCGATGATGCATCGACCAAGAAGTTTCTTGTAAGTAATTTCAACACTTACAAGATGAGCGATTCTCGCCCAGTGATGGAGAAATATAACGAATTACTTCGAATCCATGGTCAGTTTACTCAACACAATCTGAACATGGATGAGGCAATCTTTGTGTCGAGTATAATCGACAAACTGCCACCTTCTTGGAAGGACTTCAAGCACATGCTTAAGCACAAGAAGGAAGAGTTGGATTTAACCCAACTCGGTACCCACTTGCGCATAGAGGAGAACCTTAGGGTGCAAGAGGGTGTGGAGCCAAAAGATTATTGATCGGTTCATATGATGGAGATTGGAGAGTCTTCTTCCCAGAAAAAGGGAAAGAAACGTTCTCGTGAAAAGGGCTACAATCCATCCAAGGCCGACAAGAACAAGAAGGCTAAACCTTCTTGTTGCAAATGCGGGAAACCGAGGCATTTCAAGCGTGATTTTCCCATGGAAAAATCAAATAATAATGGCAATCGTCATGTTGGGCAAGGATCTAACGATCAAGGCCCACAATGTCGTATTCCCACTTTTGATTTTGAATTTGATCCAAATTCATGTATGAATTATGTTTCACTAATTAATGAAGCATATTTTGTACAGGATGATGATGTTTCTTGGTGGGTGGACTCTGGAGCTAACATACACGTAAGCAAGGATCGCAAATGGTTCAAAACTTACAAACCAGTGAAAGACGGTTCTGTTCTCCACATGGCCAATGAGTAAACTGCTCCAGTCGAAGGACGTGGCACCGTAGAGTTGGAAAACACTATCCAGAACTTGAATTGACTGATGTTTTGGACATGATACTATACTCTTACCCTTAAAGATCAAAATTTGGGTTTTAATTCTCTAAATCTTATACCCCAAGATCAATTTAATTAGAAACAATAATCGACGGTTATGATTCGTCCAAATATAGGCAAAAAAATAATGCACCATCTTAGGGTTTATAGTTTATGATTTAGATAATAGGACCTAGAGTTCACTCATTAAGGGTTAGGGTATAGTATCATGCCCAAAAATCCTGCTAATTCGAGGTCTAGATAGTGTTTTCATACTCAAGGT